GCTCTCTATTCTGATGGAACACCATTTTTATTAAAATATCTCTTGACAGCCAAACTGGTTATTTAGACTTGGGTATTTGACAAATATTTCCTCAAAAATAAATGAAGTAGAACCGTCAGTTCAGGGAAAACAAATGATAATGTTTGTTGTCATTGATATAATTTAGCTTTCAAGAAAGTAAATTGTAAAAGTTGCGTCATCACTGTCATCTTGACAGCTTCCAAATACTTAGATTCTTCTGATGAGCTTGGAAGGGATAGTAAAAAAGGTGGTATTTTGATAGCATAGGATGAAGTATGTTCACATTTGGAAGATTTGCATAAATCAGTGAACAAGTATTTCCAGTGACCACTGTGGGATGTTAAAATTGTGCATATTTTAAAAGATTCACTCAAAGTACAATATGTACCAATAGATTTTTGTTTTAAAATAAATTAATAGCTTATCTGAGGTTTAATTGACTCATGATAAGCCACGCATTTTTTACACATGAATACACACATGAAACTATTACAACAATCAAGATAATTAACATGAGTATAGCTCCCAACAGTTTCCTCCTATTCCTTTGCAATCTCTCCCTTGGGCCCTTCTCAGTTCTTAGTCCCAACTTTCATTTTCCAGATTACCACTGACTTTTTTCTCCCTAAAGTTTAGTTTTCATGTTCTAGAATTTCATATAAATGCAACAATATAGTATGTACTATTTTTTGCCCAATTTCTGTCACTGATTGTTAATTATTTTGAAATTAATCCATGTTGTGTAGTATTAATAATTTCTTTTTATCCTGAGTAATATTCCATTGTATGGATATATCATGAATTGTTTATTCATTTACTTGTTGACAGACATTTGTGTTGTTTCCAGGTTTTGCCTATTATGAACACAATTGCTACCGACACTGGTATACAAATCTTTGGGAAAACATGCTTTCTTTTTTTTTTTTTTTAAAGATTTTCAGCTATTCACTTGACAAAGAGAGGGAGAGAGAGAGCACAAGCAAGGGGAGCGGCAGACAGAGGGCGGGGAGAAGCAGGCTCCCCACTGAGCAGGGAGCCCAGATGTGGGGCTCTATGATCCTGGGATCATGACCTGAGCTGAATGCTTCACCAGCTGAGCCACCCTGGAGCACCTATGGCTTACATTTCTTTTGGATAAATACCTAGGAGCGTAATGTCTGGGTCACATGTAAATATATGTTTAACTATTTAAGAAATTGCCAAAGCATTTTCCAAAGAGGTTGTACCATTTCACGTTCCCATCAGTGGTTATGAGAGTTCCTTTTTTAAAATTATTATTTTTTGAAGATTTTATTTGCCAGAGTGAGAGAATGCACCTGTGCACAAGCACGGGGAGTGGCAGGCAGAGGAAGAAGCAGGATCCCTGCTGAGCAAGAAGCCTGATGTGGAAGTCGATCCCAGGACTCTGGGATCATGACCCCAAAGGCAGATGCTTAACTGACTGAGCCACCCATGCATCCCATGGTTATGAGAATTCCAATCACTCCACATTCTCAACAACAGCTGGTATGGTTAGTCTTTTTAATTTTACCATTAAGTAGGTAGGTAGTGATATTTCATTGTGGTTTTAATTTGTATTTTCTCTAATGACTCATAATGTTGAGTATCTTTTCATGTGCTTATTTTCCATTCATCTGACTTCTTTGGTGAAGTGTCTATTCAAACTTTATGCCCATTTTTCTACTGGGTTGCTTAATTTCTTCTTATTGAGGTATGAGAGTTTGTGTGTGTGTGTGTGTGTGTGTGTGTGTGTGTGTGTGTGTGTGTTTTGAGATATGAGAGATAGAAAAAGTAATACTTTCTGGGTATAAGTTCTTTATTAGATCTGTGATTTGCAAATACTTTCTTCAGTTTTTGGCTGTCTTTTCATTTTCTTAGTGACCTGAAAAGAAATACTTAATTTTGATTAACTACAATTGATTACTTTTTGTCTTTTAGGGTAAATTTTGATCTAACTTAAGGTCACAGATAGTTTGTTTTCTTCTAGAAGTTTTATGTTTAGATCTATGACCCATTTTGTATTTTCACATATATTTTATTCATTCATTCATTCATTTATGCCTTTGAATAACCAAATGTTTCAGCATTATTAGTGAAAAATCTTTCTTTTCTCCACTGAATTGTCTTTGTCCTTTGTTGAAATAAACAACTTTGGCGCTTTTAAAAAACTCTCTATTCAGCTTTGTCAATCCTTTATTCTCTCTTTACACCAATACTACACTACCTGGCTTAATGTGGCTTTATAGCAAATACTGAAATGAGGTAGTGTTAAGTTCTCCAAGGCTGTTCTTCACTCTCAAAGTTGTTTCGGTTGTTCTAGGTCCTTTGCATCTCCACATAAATTTTAGAATCCTTTTGTCAATTACTAAAAAAAGAAGTCTGCTGGGATTTTGATTGGGATTGTGTTGAAATAGATTAATTTGGGGGAGAATTGACATTTTTGTAGTTTTGAGTTTTCTGAACTATGAACGTGGCCTATTTTCTATTTGTGCCTTCTTTTAAAATTTTTATTTATTTATTTTATTTTAGAAGATTCTATTTATTTATTTGACAGAAAGCAAGAGAGAGCACAGACGGGGCGGGGGGGCGGTTGGCAGAGGGAGGGGGAGAAGCAAGCTCCCCACTGAGCAGGGAGCCCAATGCGGGGCTCAATCCCAAGACACTGGGATCATGACCTGAGCTGAAGGCAGATGCTTAACCATCTGAGCACCCAGGTGCCCGTGTCTTCTTTTTAAAAACGATTTATTTATTTATTTATTTTAGAGAGTGCTTCCACATTTGCGAGTGGGGGGAGGGGCAGAGGGAGAGACTCCTCAAGCAGACTCCCCTTAGAGCCCAAATCACTACCATCATCAAGACTACAGGATACACAAATCAATATACGGAAGTCAATTGTATTTGTCTTCCATTAAAAAAATGTATAGTCTGAAATTGAAATTTAAAATACCACCAAAAATATGAAATAGATCAGGTTAAGTTTGATAAAAGATATTCAAATTGTACATTGAAAATATTAAATATGTTGAGATAAATTTAAGAAGACACAAACACGTGGGGCACCTGGATGACTCAGTTAATTTAGTGTGTGACTCTGGTTCTGACTGTCATGATCTCAGGGTCATAAGATCCAGTCCTCCCAACCCCCCTTGGCTCCATCCTCATTGTGAAGTTGGCTTGGGATTCTCTCCCTCTTCCTCTGGCCCTCGCCCTGCTCCCATGCACGGGAGAGGGCACTCTGTCTCTCAAAGAATCTTTAAAAATATATATATATCTTGTCAACATTACAAAAAAGAAAACTGAGTGGCTATACTGCCATCAAACAAAGTACACTTTATTTTTTATTTTTTTCAAAGTACACTTTAGAGCAAAAAATATTACCAGGAGAAAAGAGGTTTTATGAAGTGGATTATTTATAAAATGGATCATTTCATAATGATAAAATACTTTACATAGTGAATTTCACCCTGGACAAATTCATCTAAATAACAACAATTATAAATGCAAAAAGTTTATGCAACTAATAGCAGAGTTCAAAATACATGAAGCAAAACTGATAGAACAAGCAGAATTAGAAGAAACCATAATTATAGTTAATTCAGTACTCCTCTCTTAATACTTAATAGGATAAGAAGACAGAATATCCCCCAGGATTTAGAAGATCTGAACAAAAATATCAACAAACTTGATGTGAGTGACGTTTGTAGAACATTTCATGCAACAACTGTAGAATACACATTCATCTTAAATGCATATATTTATCAAGACAGACCATATTCTGGGTCACAGAATAAGTCTCAATAAATTGAAAATGATTCAAATTATGCAAAGTATATTATCTGATTATAATGGAATTAAAGTGGAAATCAGCGACAGGAAGATGTCTGGAAAATTCAATTTTTGTAGACTACATAACACACTAATAACCCACGGGTCAAAAAAAAAAATCTATGGGGAAATCTAAGAAATCATTTTGAAATGAAGAAAAATGAAAACATACTGAAATGTGTGAAAAGTAGTTAAAGCAATATTCTGAGGGACACATCCCACCAAATGTCTGTATTACAAAAGAAACATCTCTAATCAGTGATCTCGGTTTCTAAGTTAAAAAACTAGCAAATAATGAAAAAAAAAACTTGAAAAGTTAAGAAAAAAAGGAAGGAAATAAACCTAAGAGCAGAAATCAGTGAAATAGGAAACAAAAACAAAGAAAACCTATGAAAACAAGAATGCTTTGGGACTTAAGATCCGTAAAGTTGATAAGCCTCTCGCCAGAACGATCAGGAAAAAATAAAGATGACACAAACTACCAATTTCAGAAATGAGAAATTCTTCTGTAGGTATTAAAAGGAAACTAATACTGTTAAAAGATTGACATTAACAAATCCCAACAACTTAGATACTTTCACAACCGTTAAAAGCTCACTCCAGAACAAGATTTAAATATTTATTGAATTCGGAAATGCTATATATTATTAAAAGCGGAGGACTAAGTCCAGACTTCAGAGACAAGGCATTTTCAACTCCAAGCAAATTTCACTTCCCTGGAAGGGTAAAAAACAAAGCTTATTACAGATTTGGTGCTGAGGAGTGAGGGAAAAGGGTCAGGAAAAGCTTCTCGGGGGGAGGACTCAACCGGCTGAGACAAGAAGGAGCAGTAAAATGTGCGTATCAGAACAAGAGCTACTGGGCGTCAGCTCCGGTAGGTGGCCCGAAGGAGCCTTCCGCGACCGCGCCTCAGCCGAACTCCTACAGTTCCAGGTCTCAGGGTTGTCCTCTCCCTTTCACCACTCGCGCTCACTGTCGTTAAGTGTCCGCCTCCGGCCATACCCGGACTGCAACAGTCGTGCGTCTGCGCACTCAAGCAAAGCGCTCGCTGGAAGTGGGGGCGGATGCCGGAAGTGTGACCTCTAGCTCCCTGCTCGCGGTTCCCATCCGGGGTCGTGGCGGTCTTCCGGGTGTTCCTGACCGGGCTTTCTACGCCTTTTTTTTTTCGGCGACTTTTTGGTCTTCCTCTTCTTGCTACCGCCTCGAACCTCCCACACGCTTGCTAGCCCTGTCTTTTCTTCTGTTGCTCCTCCCCGGCCGCCGCGCCTGGGGTTTAGATTGCAATCCGGATCCGGAGCCAGGCCTAGCCCTTCCGCAGGCCGCTACCTGCTTTTGGCTGGGGCGAAAGCTACTACCGTGCGCGCCAGACCCTCGCTGCTCCGGCCTTGGAGCTTCTGGGCGGGCAGTGCCGGTTGGCCCTGCTTAGACTTCCCCAAGGACACCTGTGAGTTAGTGGGTTTCGGAAAAGGACGCAACCCTTAGGCCCAGGTCGGGGGGGGCGGGGCTCGGGGAACTTTTCCTGAAACCGCACTTTTATGTTTGCGTGGGAAGTTCCGGCATTATTTCTTAGACGTCCCCGACATATGGGCGTCCCTCAAGCTGTTGCACTTTTTGAAGAATCTTAGGACCGCTTACTTTTTCCACTCGTTTCCCTTCCTCGCGCCCCGTTCTCAGTCTAGGACCATAAGAGAAAGACTGTCTTGGGACCTCTGCATGGTGTTTCAAAGGGTGGTGAAAAACTAAGGTAAATATCTGGATTAATATTTCAGAATTTAAGACTTTAATTAAATGGGCCTCAGTTCTTCATTTTACAGGAAAGTGTACAGTCTGTCCCAGTCTGAAGTCTATCAGATTGTACTCTTCCCGTTAAGCCTCTGTGGTTAGACTCTTCATCTCTCTAGGCCAGAACACCATGGTGTTTGTGTCTCAGTATCTGGATTATTCAAATACCCTGTCTTGTTTTCTCTCTTTTAGCTCTTTGTTTAACACAGCAGTAGTTCTTTAGATAGCGGATATCAGTAGGGTGAGCAAAAAAGAAAGAAACTGAAACTGTAAAACTCAAGCTAAATCGAAACTTGTTAACAAATACGTGGTATGTGATTTTGTGAGGAAAGATCATAACTGAACACTAGATCTGTGTTTGTCTGATCCGTAACATGCTATTTTTGTATATATTGCCTTGTATGGTTTATTAGTACAGATTTTTAACGTGGACAGCCAAAAGGCTCATAGTAGCTAGCCAGTGATGGTAATATGATTTTGTTGGTGTTAGCCCCAATTATGTCTAATCTGGAAATGCTCCATGATATGGGGCTTTATGTGAAACAGGCCATTTATCAATCATTTAGGAAACGTCCATTTCAAACTACATGACAACATTATTTTTTAACTCTTGGATGGAATCTAATTCTTAATAAAAAGGAATGTCCTTTTCAAAACCTTCAGGTAGTTTTGACAGTGGGTGAGCAGGATTTAGGAATTGGGCTTTTTGGTCTGTGGAGAAAAGTGAGTTTAGGATATCAAAGGCATTTGGACAAAGTGGACAGATAACTTGATTTAGTTCCCACAGTCTGGCTTTTGGCTTTTATCCTAGGGAGATTCTGCTTTCTAGGAAATTCTGATGAAGGAATTATATAACCTAGAAAGTTCTCTAATTGATTGGAGGAGAGATCAAGTTTAGGACAGAAATTCCAGGTCGTGCGTTACAGGAGCAAATACCGTATCAGTAGGAATTACTTGGTAAACTACTCTTAAACGGCCTTGTTTCTCATGTATGATTATTTACAAATAAACCTGTGTAAATATCCCATTGTGTCAACCTTAGTCAAGAAGCAACTTTAAGATTTTTTCCTTAAGACAAGAACCAATGCAATGGTTTTAAAACACACCAAAAGTTTGTAGATTATCCTATTTTATAGTCATGTATGTATTGAGAAACTGATAACTTTTAAGCTAAGAAAAACGGGATACCTCCAATATCTGGATTTTATTTATTTATCATGGAATTTCTTATACTTGCTACCACAGCTAATGTGGAGTAGTGTTTTATGTAGATCATCAAGTAGACTTAGTGAAGAAGCCTTTCATTCAGAATATAAAGAAAAAGATTTAAAATTTTGTGGAGGTCTCCTTAATGCTACAGTGGTAATAGGTTTGCTGGATTTTATACTCTAAAAGTCCATTCTGTTTAAAAGATGATCCCTTGTATTGTTTATGATAGATTATTATTTTTGGATTATTTTAGATTATTCTTCACCAAAATCACAAGAAAAAAAATATTAGAAAGAGGAACTGAAATTCATAGACCTTTGTTTTACTTTATCATGGTTATGCAGATGGGGCATTGAATGCCATTGGTTAATTCCCATAGGAATGATCCTACTGTGAGGGCTGGCCTAGTTATGAGCTAGACTTGAGGGCCAAGATTCATAATGAGGAGAACCTGACAGGTATTTTGTTGTGGAGGGACTGTAAAAGTTTTGATGCTTATCTGGGAATTTGGGATAGGCTGAACAGGATATCTGCCCTAAGGTAAACTTTTGGCTAAGTAATCATTGTACGCTCTTAAGCCTTGGATAATTTGGTCATTAGCTTTGTTGAGTGCTACTGGGCCACGAGACACCTTTTGACTTAATTCCCAATTTGGATCTTAACATATCATGGGATAGAAATAAGTTGAAGTCTGGCTATCATGTCATTTGGGATCTTCAAGTCTGAATGCATGTATATGGGACTTGATGCGGGTCCAGAGGAAAAACACAAGCATATAATTCATAGATGTAAACAGAGTGTGTCAAATTTTAACTATGAACTGATTTAAATAAATCTGAAAATAGAACATTTTAATTTTAGCTTTTCTGAATATAAATTCCTTCCCTTGTTCGAGCAAATCTATAGTATCTGTATTCCAACGAAATGAAATACCAAGAAAAATTCATTATTTGAATTTTGAACTAAATATAATGAATTTTAAATATAATGAATTTGAATTAAATATAATAAGTTATATTTAATGTCATTTTCTCATGAATCTTAGGATAGGAATTATGTTTATGGGAGTTTGGGTCAGGGAAACAGAATAAAGAAAGCCAAAAAGGAAAGAGCATGATTCCGGGGAAAATGATAGAGCAAGTCTTTAGTTATTTGTCTTAAATCTTGCTTTCTGTGATTGAGTGTACTTTATTAATAAAGGATTGTCTGGAATCCTTCTTGGTTCAAGATAATTTCCATTTCCTCTGAGCAGTGAAAATCAGTGAGTACAATTTAGCACCTATGCTAGGATTGATTGTTTTCGAAAAATCTCCTCTGGTAAGAGGTACAGACCTGTTGAAGAGAGTTGATAAATTTTTGTTTTCTGGAGGTAACACCTTGTCTCTTGTACAAATTAGGGAGTTGGGCACTTGGGATGAGATCTGATGGTGGCCCAAGACTCTTGTTCACAATGAAGCCTGGACTGGTGAATCTCATTATCTGTGTTCTCATTTTCTGTGTATCTGCCAGTATTGGGTATTTAAATTTCACAAAATTGAAAAAAAAATTTTGTATGAGTGATTTATTAGTTTCTCTCCGGCTCTTTGTCTTTTACTCTCCTATTTTCTCTTGCTCCAGCTTTTCCAGCCATCTGGTCTCAATACCCAAAGGCAGCTACATTTCTTTTAGCTACTTAAGTGTTATTTTCCTCTGTTCTTCTAAAAAAAAAAAATGCTTAAAAAACTTCTATAGCTTGCTTTTAAATTTGACATCTGCTGAAAATGAGGATTTAGCACCTTTATGTACCCTCTCTTATCATTAAATTATAATGTATATGAACATGTAACTATATAACATACATGTAATCCTTTAATATGTAATAAATGATATACAATAATTTTATTACAGTTTTTGTCTAAATTAGTATTTTTAATGTTTGTGTTATTGTGAGAACCACATAGGTCATGATTATATTTTCTTTTTTATATGATTTTTGGGGTTTTTTGTTGTTTATTAATTTCTTTTCAACTTGCTACTTTTCTGTTTCTATGATTATTTCTTCTCTGTTAGCAGAATTCCTTTCTGTGGTCAGATACATCAGATAATCTGTCAGTAAAGTTTTAAGTTTTTTTCTTCTTGGCTATCTTCTTGAAACCCTTTTTCTTCTTGGCTCTAATTCAAACTGATAGCTTCCCTTCACCATCATCGGAGGGAATTTGCTTTGTCTCTGCCCTAGAGCAGATCTCCCTTTTCCTAGATCCCAGGTTTTGTTTTGTTTTTTGATACCTTGCATGTCTGAACATGTTTTTGTTCTCCCTTGCCTTGTTATTATAGCTGGGTATGGAATTACTTCTTGAGAACATTTTCTTCAGAGGCTTGAAGGCACTGACTTCATTGTCTTATTGTTTCCTCTGTTGCTGTTAGGGAGTTTAAAGACATTTTGAACTTTTATAACATTTTCCTCTTTTGTAATATTTCATAAGCTTCTTTTTCCTGATATTCTGAAATTCACCATACTTTGATGCATATTTATTTTTTAATGTACTTTGTATTCATTAGGTTCTTTAATTCTCAGGATTGGTTTTCTTCAGTCCTGGACATTTTCTTGTTTTATTTATTTGATAATTTCCTTCTCTGTGTTTTCTGTCTTCTACAGGAATTTCTGTTATGTTTGATGTTTGACCATATAATTTGATTCTCTTATATTTTTCCTCTTACTGTCCTGCCTCCTTTCTACCCTCATCTGTTTTTCCTTTTTGTTCTAAGAGATTTCCTCAATGTTATCTTTTAACTTTTTACTCAATAGTTCTGCTTTCAATTTTGTGATTTCCAAGAGACTTTTTTGATTTTTAAATAGTATAGTCTTTTTTTTGTTTCCCCTTAGGCAAAGAACTTTATTAACCTTGTTTCCAACTTTCTTCCCACGCTTTTTCAGCTTAATTAGCTGCAATGAATGAATTGTGTATAAACAAAAACTGAAAAGAGCTGCAGTATCCAAGGGGTTTGGGCACAAAAATATTAGAGATCTAGATTTTGTTGGATCCATGAGCAGAATTTTAAAAACCAGTCATACTTTAAAATAGCAGCTCCCAGTAACTTCTTCAAGTTTTATCTTCTTCAGAAGTTGACTCAGTTTAGTTTGCTTCATTCTTGGAAGCTTCTTCTGAGTTCTCCGTAAGATCTGGAACTTCATCCTCCTCCTCCTCTTCAATAGCAAGTGGGGCTTTTCCATCCACAGATTGTTTGGGCTGAGCTTCAGCCAGTCTCCTTGAACGGTCATACTGTCTGCACTGAGTTGGTTTAAGACTCTGGGTAGGATTTCTGTCAGCTGCTTTGTCTCAGCGTGGCCTTTAATGGAAAGTGTTTGCTGCTAGCAATTCCTGAACTTCGGGGTTGTTAAAGCGGATCACTGTTCCTTGGTTTGTGAACATACTCACTTCTTCTATACCAGAGATATTGTTTACCTCTAACTTTTTAAGCTGTAGCTGTTCTATGAACCATCTTCTTTCCGTGAGCAATTCCTTTCCCACTAATGCACACTAGTACTTGCCTTTGGTGAGTTTCTTCTGGTTCGTGATAGCTTCTTTCATCTTGTTGGAGTGGGAATGGGACTGTGTGTGGGGAATAGGGTTGGTGCTGGGGTTCATGGGTGGACCAGCTGAGATTCTTCTTCTTCTTCTTCTTCTTCTTCTTCTTTTAAAGATTTATTTACTTATTGGAGAGAGAGAGAGAGAGAGAGAGAGAGAGAGAATGTGTGAGCAGGGGATCCCCTGCTCCCCTGCCAGGTTCCCCCTGGGCAGAGAGGGAGGGAAGCAGACTGTGCTGAGGACAGGAGGTGTGCTGAGGACAGGAGGCAGATGCAGGGCTTGATCTCACAACCTGAGCTGAAATCAAGAGGTGGTTGCTCAACTGACTGAGCCACCCGGGTGTCCTGAAAACAGCATATTCTTGTTTTATGTATGGAGTGTTTTTTAATTTTTTTTTTTTTTTTTTTTTTTAGTTTTAACTTGTTCTTGGCATTGTTTTTGTTTATTCCTTGATCTTTTTTTTTCTAATGGTGATCTGTGGATGTTTATTTTAAGTGAGAGGTACTGGAAATCTGATTGCAAGCTCTTTGTATATGGGTGGACAGTTCAGTAGTAGGCTTCACTGTAGCTTCCCAGCAGGCTTAACTTTTCCTTGGAAAACTGTTACTATATTATAGGCTCTCTGGTTACCATATTATATAGTTTCTTTCTCAGTTACTCCATAGATGAGTTTTCTTGTTGCCTGTGTTGGGAGGTGGGCTGGGAATCCTATTTTCACTTTGTTGATTTTTCTTAATATTTGCTTTCAGTTTGTTACCTGAACCTATTCTTTGTAAGTTTCCAGCCTTTAGGGATGAGTCATTGCAAAGTATAAATATCTAGTCTCTTACCTGGTCACTGAATGATTCTGATTGCTTTGTACAGTAGGCCCCCTCCTCCCCATCCACAGTGGAGATAGTCCAAAATCCCTAGGGGATGCCTAAAACTGGGTACTGCTGACCCCTATATATACTATGGTTTTATCCTCTACACACATACCTATAATAAAGTTTAATTTATAAACTCAGCACAACAACAACTAATAAGAAAATGGAACAATTATAATAATCTACTGTGATAGTTTTATGAATGTTGTCTCTCAGAATATCTAATACTGTATTCACCCTTCTTGTGATGATGCTATAGTTGATAAAATGCCTATGTGATGAGATGAAGTGAGGTGAATGATGTGTGTATTGTGACATAGCGTTAGGCTGCTATTGACCTGAGGTTATGTCAAAGGAGGATCATTTGCTTCTGGGCTGCAGTTGACCGCAGATAACTGAAACCACAGAAAATGAAGTCATGGATAAGGGGGGACTATTATATATAAATTTTTCCCATTGCTGTGGAACAAGCTCTCTCTTACTAGATGTCCTTTATATAAGTTATTTAGACTTTGAAGGGAATCTCGGAATTTAAGAGTTATTAGGCAGTACAGATTCCTTCCCTTTTTTGAGGAGATCTCTAAGAAGATCTGTAAGATCTGTATCTTAGGAATCAGCTTATCTTATTATGGCTTATACCTTTGAATAAATTAGATTGGGTATAAATAAACACAAGAGTTGTATGGCTTCATTAAATGTCTGTATTGGGTGTTTTTTTAATTATCAGAGTAGGTGGTGATAACTTTATTTCTGAAAGATCTGTTGATATTAGGGCAAATTTTGAAGAAATTAGAAACTTGCATATATTTTACTATCATTTGAATAATAATTATCTTAATCTAGATATAAAATTCATTAGCAAAAAAAAAAGTTAAAAAAATAAAATTCATTATTACCAAGTTTTTTGTTATGTTTAGTGGGACATATTGATGTTTAAACTTTTGAAATAACTTTGCAAATGAAATTCATAACTTGGTAACTAATTGCTTTTAAATAGTAGATGTTAGTTAATAAAGAGTTCAGTATATTTAAGATATAATAATTTGTCTTTTAAAACTATTCTAGGTAGAAGAATACATGTTCACTTTTAGTGAACAAGAGCATGTTCCCAAACTCAATTTTGGGTCGCCCGCCTTTCACCCCAAACCATCAACAACATAACTTCTTTGCCCTCTCGCCAACTCTTTATTCACACCAGCAGCTTATAGATGCACAGTTTAACTTTCAGAATACAGAGTAAGTACAGTGATATTTTGGTCCGTATCATTTATAAATTTTGTTTTCTACTTGACAGAAACCCTTTTTGTATGAAACATTTGAAGTTAAAATGTCATTTTCTTACTTTCTTTTGATCAGTGAAATATTTAGTTTTTATGAAATTGTTTTTTTGTTTTTAAGGTAAAAGTGTTTATTACTACTGTTTTTTATGTGTTTTCGGTAGTTTGTCAAGAGCTGTGTCTTTACAGCAGTTGACGTATGGAAATGTCAGTCCAATACAGACCTCGACATCTCCGTTATTTCGAGGAAGGAAGTAAGTACTTCTTAATTATTTTAGAAGAAGAGTTGGGATTTCTCAGAACTGTAGATCAGTGTTTCTTACATTAAGATTGGATGGGTACTATACCCTAAATTTTATTTTCTGGAACCTGTGTGATCAGTCCTATCAGAGAATTTTAAAACTTCTACTATATATTTAAAAAATTTTAGGGATGTTTTTATTGATTTATTCCCAACACTGCAAATTTTAGATGGAATGAAGCTATATTTCTTCAGAATACTACTATGAATTGAAATATTAACTAAATTAGGCAGTTTTCTGTATTAGTTTGCTGGGGCTACCATAACAAAGCACAACAGCAACAGAAATTTATTTTCTCACAATTCTGGAGGCCAGAGGTCTGAAAGATCAAGGTCCGGGCAGGTTTGGTGTCTGTTGAGGCCTGCCTCCTTGGTTTGTACATGGCTGCTTTCTCTGTGTCCTACATGGTCATTCCTCTGTGTTTTGTGTGTCCTAATTTGCTCTTCGTCTGAGGACACGAGTCATACTGGATTAGGGCCCACTTTAATGACACCACTGTAACTTTTTTAAAGGCCGAATGTCCAAAACTACATTTTGAGGTACTGGGAATTAGGGCTTAACTGTAAGAATTTTGAGGGTACACAGTTCAGCCCATAATACCTTCTTTACAGTAAAGTTTACGATTGATTTATCACAGTCTTACACAGGTAAGGTTCCATAATAACTATTATTTTAGTAAAAATTTCTACATGACTTAAAGCCTTCTATAGAGAAATCAGAGTCAGTTAATCTTAACCAATTAAAAGAAATGGATGTATCACAAAGTAATTGTAATAGAACTTTAGAGATGATTATTAAAATAAAATTTGGCAGTACTGGCAAGATACTACTGTTTAAAGCCTGTGTAGTTATTCCATAACTTTATGTCCAATTTAAAATAACACTAGCTAAGAAATAATTGGTCACTAAATTGGCATTGTTCTTAGGACTTTACAAATAATTTGATTAAGTTTCACAACACTCTATGAGGTATGTTACTTCTCTTCTTTTGAGAAAGATGAAGCATACAGAGGCTAAGCAACTAGTTATTCAGGTGGAAGCATACTGGGATTTGAACCCAGGTGGTCTGGCTCTAGATCCTCTGCTTGGAAGCACTGTGGAAAGCTATATAATGATCCTAAAAGTATTGACTTTATTCAGATTTTAATATTTTTGAAGTTGTCTGATAGCTAACTTCTGAATCACAAATAAAAGTTAATTCCATTGGCTCATAGTTACACATATTTTAAAAACTAAAATTGGCATTCTCAATAGAAGCTATTCAGCCTATAAAGCTAAATCACTTTTATGTTAAAAGATCTTAAATATACTCTTATGTTGTTAGCACTGTATATTTTTACCTGAGTAGGAGTTCCACTTATTTCGTGGATCAAGGAGTGAGGAATTGGTGTAATCCTAAAGGAGTGTTATAATAAAAACCTTCAAGTGGCTATGACCCATGGAATTTTAGAGCTTAAGGGAACCCAGACCATTTCCCATAGCCTAAAGTGTTATCTGTATGAACAACTTAATGTATCAATGAAGTATTTTTTTAAACAAATAATTATTTTTTATTTCCTGTTGCTTTTTGATTTTGAAAATTATATACCTTCAGAAAAATTTGAAGAATAGTACAATAAACCTGTATGCTATTTTCCTAGATTCATTAAAGTTGTGCTACATTTATTTATTTATTTATTTGTTTATTTATTTTTTGCCTCTTTTTCTCTCTACTCCTTCTTTTTTTCTGAACCATATGAAAAAGCTGTAGACATCACTTCATTCTACCCCAAAGCACATCAGTGTGTTCCTCCTAAGAACAAGGATATTCTCCTATATAACCAAAATGCGTTTGTCATGCCCAAGAAATTTAACATTAAGACTTTACTGTTATCTGAAATACAGTTAGTTTTCATATTTCTTTAGTTGTTCATTGTCTTTATAACTTTTTAATATGATCTTTCCAACTGATGAGCCAGAACATAGGTGGACTTAAAGACCTTTTAAATTTATATATATATATATGTATATACATATATATGTAATATTTTTTAAGATTTTATTTTTAAGTAATCTCTACACCCATTATGGGGCTTGAACTCACAACCTAGAGATCAAGAGTTTTACGCTTTACTGACTGACAGCCAGGTGCCCCTTAAAGAGCGTTTTAAAATATAGAACACTCAGTTCACTTAATCTTACTCTCCCTATGTTAGAATTTGGGTTTTTATTGTTAGTGATCTGTGAATAGAAGTTTTCCTACAAAGTTTTCACTGGTGAGGTAAACATTGGGGTAGTTCAAATGTAGGAGATTAATTTTTTTATATGCATTGTTACTATTCATTTTTCCTAAGGTATTTTTTTAAGGGATCTTTTGTGCTTACAATAAATATTTAAAGATTCATAGAGAACTAATAATGTGGCCTTGCTGAAAAGAGTTGTTAATGGTGTTTGTTATTTATATATTTTTAATTGTTTTCTCTTTGTTATTAGACAGTTATAGCTTTAATCACTAAGGTATATTGCTTGTTTTCAGGAGATTAAGCGATGAAAAAAACCTTCCTCTTGACGGTAAACGGCAACGTTTCCATTCACCCCACCAAGAGCCAACTATAGTTAACCACATAGTGCCTTTATCAGGTGAAAGAAGATACTCAATGCCGCCATTGTTTCATACACACTATGTACCAGATATAGTCAGATGTGTTCCACCTTTTCGAGAAATACCATTTTTAGAACCTAGAGAAATCACACTGCCTGAGGCCAAAGATAAGGTAATAATAATGTAGATTTTAGTTTTTTACCTTTTGGGAAGTTTATAATGTATTAAAAACACCAGAAATACCTAATGTTTTGGATTAAGCTGAATATGCCTTTTTTGCTTTGTTTATTTAACACAGTTTTCTGTCTAAATTTGATTTTTTAAATTTTTTGTTAGCTGTTCTTTTATGGAAGTGCAGCTTTCATGTCAGGAAATCAGATTTTTTCTGATTCATAAAAGTCTGGATTAGGGCTCAGAACATTCAATTTCTTAGTTTAGAGTACTCTGTTGTTACTTATTTTTATTATAGAGAAATACATTTTCATATGGTTATTGTAATAAAGTGTCAAAAAGCATTTTCTTTTGGGATATTTGTATTATGAGGTTTTTGAATGTCAAAAATAAGAGTTCAGGAGTCACTGAGAAATGAATACATTCAGAGTGATACGACAAAGATTTATCTGAAATATTATTTTATGAAGAGTATTTCAAATAAATGAAATAAAGCTGTTTAATAATTATTTTTAAAATGACATTATCAGCACTGGGGAATCATGTGTTATTTAAACACTAATATTAGAAGCAAATCCAGCCCCCCAACCAAAAAAAAAAAAAAAAAAATCTAGGTAATTTGTAAGAGTTTATAACATAAATATCTGCATTCTCTTGGCTTGTCTATGGCTTATATTTGCTATTTTTGCATTTTCAAAGCTGCTCCATTTTTAAGAAATACGACATTTGTAGGCTGAGGAGAATGATCCTGAAAAGTGTAGTGACTTTGTTTTACTCATCTTTGGGTTCCTAGCAACCAGCATAGGTCTGGAATATAGTAAGTGTGCAAAAAGTGTTGGGTCAAAAAGGAACGCTTGCTTTATTCTTCATTTGTGCTGCTTTTTGTTCCTTTATCATTCTTTTTTTCTTTGAGAGAGAACTATCATGAAATTTGCTCTTTTTAGGTGTATGATTCAGTGGTTTTTTTAGTATATTCGCAAATTTCTACAACCATCACCACTATCTAATTCTAGTATGTTTTCATCATCCCCAGAAAAAGACTTGTACCTAGTAGCAGTCCCTTCCCCATCCCTTACCTTCTCACCCTACCTGCCTGCCTTTGGCAACCACCAATTGATTTTTTTATCTCTGGATTTACTTATTCTGGGCATTTCATGTAAATGGAATCATACATTATGTCGTCTTGCTTTTTTCACTTAGCATATTTTCAAGGTTCTGCATGTGGCATGTGTCAGTTCTTTGTCTTTTTTTATAATTAAATAATACTACATTGTATTGATATAGTCTATTTTGTTTATGCATTCATCAGCTGATCAACTTTGGGGCTATTTCTACTCTTTGACTATTCTGAATAATGCCACTATGAAAATCTGTGTACAAGTTTTTGTGTGGACATACTTTCATTTCCTTGGGTATACACCTAGAAGTGAATTTGGGTAATGTGGTAACTCTATGTATAACTTTTTGAGGAACTGCCAAAGTGTTTTCTAAAGTGGCTACACTATTTTACTTTCTTACCAACAGTGCATAAGTGTTCTAGTTTCTCCGCATCCTTGCCGGCATTCATTGTTGTCTGTCTTTTTGATTATAGCTATCCTGGTGGGTATGAAATGGTATCTCATTGGGATTTTGATTTCCATTTTGCTAATGACTAATGATGTTGGTCATCTTTTCATTTGCATATTGGCTATTTGTGTATCTTCTTTGAGTAACTGTCTATTCAGATCTTTTGCCCATTTTTAATTGGGTTTTTTATATTTTATTGTTGAGTTGTAACGAGTCCTTTATATATTCTCAGTATTAGACCTTTATCAGGTATATGATTTGCAGATATATTCTCCCATTCTATTGTTTGTCTTTTTCCTTTCTTGTTGGTGTCCTTCAAAACACAAAAGCTTTTCATTTTAATGAAGTCCAATTTATCTGTTTTTCTTTGGTTGCCGAGCATTTGGCATATAAGAAACCATTGCCTGATCCAGTGTCACAAAGATTAATGTCTGTGTGTTATTCTAAGAGTTTTATAGTTGAGCTCTTAGATTTAGGTCTTTGGTCCATTTTGACTTAATTTTTTTATGATATGAAGTAGGGATCCAGCTTCATTCTTTTGCTTAGTCCATTTGTCCCAGCACTACTTATTAAAAAGGTTCTGTCATTCTCTTGTTATTATAAAGTAGGAAAGCAGTTAGGCAAAACCAGGAGGAGGGAGGAAGAGGCAAAATAAAATGGAAAAGACTACTTGAGAAGTTTTGGTACTGTTTCTCCCCCTACCCCCAACCCCCCATTCTTTCTCCTTTCTTTGCTTTTTCATTTTAAAGAAACTCTTGTAATGCTGTAATATGAAAGGCTGTGCTGTAAATCAAATCAGACCAATTCTTAGAGTGAATGTATAAGAATCTTTTAATATATGTGGGTTTTTAATGTATGTATGCAGGCTCATTTTTTATGGAATTTATAAGTATTGAAGCTTTCTGTATTTTTGCATGTATTTATATGTTTAATAGTTAACTATTAGAACTAACTAAATAACTGCTAGTTCTGCATATAGACTAAATACATGTTGTTTTAGTAAATTTAATAACATAACTTATATTGGTCAGTATATATCATCTAGTGAAGTATAGTTCCATATCAATTAACTTTTTCTTCACTTGATAGCATAGGAAAAAATTCTCTTAAATCTTATGTTTTTGGAGTAAGCATTTATTTCAGAAAGGTAAAGATACATTATGTTGTTAAGCCAATTTCTTTGAGTGCTACTCTCTACTTGCTTAGTTGTAGGAAAAAGAAGGCAAACAGTTGGTTCTGTGTTCATTCTTTAAGCGAACACTTGTAAAGAAAACTAACATTTATTGATGTCTTTTCTCTTCTAGGCATTCTACATATGTTATGTCATTTAGTCTTTTCAACAACCCCATGACATGGATATTATCCTAATTTTACTGAGGCTCAGAAAGCTAAATAACTTGCTCAAGGTTACAGCTAGTAAGTGACACAACCGAGATTTGACCCTTGTCTCTGATAATACAAAGAGAAGGAATCTAAGGTGCTTAAAATCAGGGTTAGGGAGATGACATTCTTAGAACTGACTGTAACACCAGGTAATCTGTGATGGTAATAGCTAATATTAATAAGTATCTTTTTTTGCCAGCAGTGTGCTCAATGATTTGTATTGTTTACCTCTGTTTACCTCTGCTACAGCGTGAAGTGAATGGGAGCTTCAGTGTGAGATAAAAATGGGGTAGTGATTTTGGGCCTTGAATGCACAGTAGAATGCCATAGAAGTTTTTTGAGTAGAGGAATAGCACAATCAGATTGGCATTTTGGGGAAGATAATTCTTGTGGTATAGTGGAGTTGAGCTTGGAATAAGGAGGCCCTGCAAGATTGATGATTATTACCTTGAAGGCTATTAAATTCATTCAGATGAGATGTGCTGAAGCTTTCAGTTATGGCATAGGGTTGTGAGAAAGATGTGAGAGACCATGAATAAGGACAATTGGTAGAATGTGTGGAATCATTGAATATAGGGAAGAGAGAGAGGGGCATTTGTAACTCCAATGATTTGATTTTGGACTACTAACAGAGATAAGGAATACGGATTTGGGATATATAAATTAATTGAGGGACTAGTCAAGAACTATTTGGAACTGTGGTAAGCTTTGTAATTTTTGTGCTCTTGAGGAAGCTTGTATTCTGCATATTGCACACTAAGAAAATAGGGCTGGGGAAAATAGAGCTGGAGTAGGCTACTCAAAACCTAAACAATTTTGTAACCAGAACACTATCAAGAGTAATAATTGATACCTTGGGAAATAACTTGGTCAGACTGGGTAGGCGGCTTAGTATGGCTGGATGCTGCTGCAGGGTATATTAAAAATGTGCGAAATAGAGTTGAGATACTGCCTTGTGATGGGCATTGAGACAAGGCAGTTAAAGGTGGAGCTCTGAGTCAGTGAGGCTGCTGTTAGTAGACACAGAAGGAAATACATCAGCAGAGAGCTGTTTGAGACTGACAGGATGCTTTATTGAGTGGGAACCGTCAATTTAGTGGGAACCCAAATAGGTGGGAGCTTATTTTTAGTCGTGTTATATCTATAAGGACTCCTACCTGTGCAGCAGCCAAACTAAGGAATTCTTTTTTTTTCTTATGGTTATGATGTATAATTTCAGCTCCATGTACAAATTAATTCAACAAACATGTTGAATTGATACCGTTCACCTACTCACCAATTGTTTGTAAGCTAATTGGTATTGTAGAAAAATATGTTGTAGTTGAATTGGCAGTATATATTTCAGAAGCAAAGCGGGGACAGAGATAGGAATCCTGAAGTCACCTGTAATAAAAGTAATAATTGAAACACTTGGGAGTAGAGATTCTGTTTTTATTTATTATTCAGCGAATACTTGTGACTGCTGTTATCTATATGCTACAATGTTATATCACAGTATTGTGCTAAATATACATGATCACAGTCTCTTTATCATATACATACACTGTAGTGAGAGAATAGTCATTCAAATATATTTGTAAGTGCAGTGAAGGAAAATTGCAATGCTGAGAGAATGTTTTTGAGGTCAGGGATGGTCCTGTTTTGGCTGGTAATGTTTTAGCTGAGAACTGAAGGATGAGTAGGGGTTAATTAGTGAAAGTGTGGTGGGGTTGGAGAGAATGATTCAGAGAGAAGGAACAGTATCTTTGAGGTTCCTACCATAGAGGGGAACATGGAGTAAGCAAGGAACTGAAAGAAGGCCAAGGTGGCTGGAGTTTGGTTGATTAGGGGAAAGTGGCTGAAGTGTGGTAGGGGAAGTGGGGAGAGGGCCAAAGACTAGTATGTTATTTTGGTGTTCAGCCTAAGAGCAGTGATAAACTGCAGAATTGCCTCTGGTTGAGAATAATAACTAGATTAGATAGAGAAGAGGGTACTGAGGATTACTTCTGAGTTTTAGGCTTCTACGTGGATTCATGGTAGGATCATTCACTGCGGTGGAACAAAATGGAGGAG